TCAAGTAGGGCAAGAACTTTTACCACCCTCGGTGAAAAAAAGTCTGTAGTGATAACAGTGGTGCCAGGCTGTCTTTTCCAGCGGGTCCAGTTTGAGAAAAGTACAAGTGATCTCAAAACACTAGTGGTGGCCTGCTCTCCCCCTGCCCCACCCATGTCAATTACATTAACATTTAAATCCTTCTGATCTTTGCTCCTATTTCATGGCAACCCTTATCTAGCACATTCACTCTCTTCATCCCCAAGCAATGCCATTCTTTATCGTAGAGATCAGGTTCTACCTATTGCGTGAAACCTTCTCTTACCAAGCCAGCAAACACAGATGGCCTGACACCAAATTCTAAAAGCACTATTGCTCCCTGGTCATATTTTCATTTATTCAACAAATATGTATTGGCCACTTACTATGTGCCAGGCACTGTTGCAGGTGTTGGGGACATAGCAGTGAACAGAACACACTAAAAAACAATCCCTGGCCTCATGGAGCTTCCATTCTACTCAGGGAGACAACTGGCATGTAAGTAAATAAGAAGTTAATAAGTGCTATGAAGAAAATCATTATTTAAAAGAAAAAGTGTATCTCGCGAGTTACATTTAACTGTTCTGTGGCATCAAGCAGCTATTTCCCCTTTGGAGGTCTTGTTCTCACCTCCATAAGAAAAAGGTTTGTAAGACATATTCTTGTTCTGGAATGCTGTGCCCATCAATTAGGTTTAAAACATCTTAATGACAGATACATACACTGTTTTAAAACAAAGATTAAATTCACTTTTCTGTATTTCTAAGCATATGGAAATATAACATTGATGCCTACCTTATATTCAACATTATATTTAAAATTAGATAGCATTCTACTCAAAAACAAATTGGTGAGCATATCAACAATTTCTGATGAGGTACTACTTTGATAGACTATTAGAACCTATTTTCTGTTTAAGACTTTTAGACAAAATAAAGGGTTTTTATTCTAAAAGAGAGCTAGCACATTTTTCAAAGTCACTCTTTAGAATTCATTCTTTTTAGTTATAGATTTCTTAGACTGAATCCCCACTGTATTTCCTCATAAAGTGCTGGGCAAATACATCCTAAATCTGCACACTTCCGTGGCTGAAAAAGAAAAAAAAATGCATTTCTCTTTCATCTTTTAAATAGACGTTCCATAGTTCCATAACTCTGAATATATGAAAAACCTCTGGCCGTGACCTCTGACGGCTTTCTCAGGAATGATTTCAGTCTGTCTCACTATCCCCGATAAGTAAACCATTTGCTAAACCCCAACAAAGCAAGCTGTCAATAAGAAGCACAGATCCGGTGTGCTATCAGGAGTACAGAGAAGTTTCTTTCACCCAACGAGTCTTCCCTGAGGCCGATATCTGCCATTACTGAAACCCTGCAGAGATGCCTGGGAAGTTGATATGGGAGAATGGGAAGGAGGGATTAAAACATGGAAAATCCATGGCCGGAGCATGTTTGATAATGGCTGTCTGGTTGACAACGAGCTAAAAAAACAATAGTATGATAGAGCATCGAGTCCAAGGCTACACATGAAGCATCTTTACAGTAATTTCTCTAAAATCAGAGTGTGGCTTTAAAAAATTATAGATGGAATAAAGAAGAAAAAGATTTTCAAGAGCAAAAGAGGAGGAGTTTTAAGCCATATTTTATTACAATTGCTCTCTACTATCTGTAACGAACATGACAAGAAACATGTTTTCCTTGCCACTTTGTTTGGCTGACATTCTGGTTTGACATAATTGGCTGTTATCTTTACTACCCTGACTAAAAATTAAGTTTTTTTTTTCTAACAAAGCAACTGTCCAGTGCGTGACTCTTAGATTTCTGGGCAAAAGTTAAAGAATGAGAGTCCATTTTTGCTACCATTGTACCTGTACTAAATTGCTAATTTCCCTCCTCCTGTTGGCAAGGAGCTAAATGATCTACCTCTACTTCTCTTCTCTTACTCAAGTCACTGAAATGGAGGGCCGGCAGCTTTTACTTCCTATTGAAGCTTCGTCCTTGAAAATGTCCATATTCCCAACACTGCTAAAATTCATCTTCATAATCTGATCATTTATGAAAAGAGTCCCTTCTTCTCTCTTTCAGTACAATAACAGATCTTCAAAACAAAGTCCTGATCCAATATAACTAGTGTCCTAAGAAGAAGAAGAGACACCTGGAATGTGTGTACACAGAACCACCATGTGAAGAGGCAGCAGGAGGGCGGCCACCTGCAAGCCAAGGAGAAAGGCCTCAGAGGAAAACAAATCTACCAACATATTGATCTTGGACTTCTAGCCTTCAGAACTGTAAGAAAATAAATTTCTGTTCTTCAAGCCACCCTGTCTGTGTTATTTTGTTACAGGCCCTGGCAAACTAATGCAGGTTTTCTGAGAAAACCAATAAATTAAAAAATTTCCTCAGCAAATGTTAGAAAATACTAATAAAAGGACTCTGAGGAGTTTGGGACATAGTAAAGACTAAATGTTTGGAGACAAGTTTCTCTTATTGAAATAACTCACCCCACAATATTTGCTTCACTGAGTCAAGATAGAAAAGGGATTTTTGCATCTCCCAGCAATGTATTAATCTCAGTCTATTAAAAAAGTACATTTAGTTCCCTGGTTCTGGCTATCAAACATTCATCTCCCTAGACTGCCTTCAGAACAGAGGAGAGAGAACTAACTTATTGTTAACTGAAAGAGAAACTAAAATGTAAATTCCGAAAGAATATAAACCATCTGTCTGAGAACACAAGATCCGCTATTTGCTCAGTCAAGAAGGCAAAAATCCATATGAATTCATGAGGATAAAACTCTGAAGTGACGTAATTAAGACTATATGCCAATAACTACAGTTTATTTAGACTGAAAAGTAAATTGTGCCATATCTTGGAATGATTCCACGTAGAGCATTTAGCATTATAGGATGGCCAAAACACACACATGCATAGTGTGTGTGCACATATGTGTGCATGTGTGTGTGCCTGTCAGTGCATGTTTATGGCTGCTGAGGCTGGGTAAAATGATTCTGAGAAATGGCTCAGACAACAATCACTATGGCGTGATGGAAGAAAATGAAAATCAAAGGGGATGTGGGAAGTTGGGAAGACTCAGGGGGAATAAGTGCCTGGGTGCATTTTCTGGGAAGGAGTGAGCAATATGATATTCAGACACTTGGTGAGATGAGCAGAGCTCAGCAAAAAGGACTCTAGGCAGAAGGACGCATGTAGTTGCAAGATCCATCCATGTTCAGATCTTTTCCTATGAGGCCCTAGTATTGAAAGTACCTAAAGGCGTTGATGGACTATGTCTAGTCCCACTGGAGCCACAGAAGTTAGGGGGCATTCTGATCAGCCCAGTGATGCTCTCCTCTATGGAGGTGGGAGGGACTGAGCTGGAGGAGGGACAGAAAGAATGAGTCTCCATTAATGCAGTGGCCAAGGAAATGGGAGAAGAGGAAATCCCCAGGACTGACTGCACATGGGGAGGAGGATAAGGGAAGGGGAAGACCCTCTCATCTTTCAGGCTCCCGAGTTTTTGGCTTGGGTGATGGGGTGATGAACACACACTACAATACGCCGTGTGTGTTCATGGGGGGACTAGTAGAAGCTAGATCAATTTGGAGTGCACTGATTCATGCCTCAGAGAGCCACAGTTAGGGATAGCCAATGGGTAACACCATTCTGGAAGCTGTTAGACTCGGAAAGCCCTATCTTGACAGGTTCTGTAGCCAGCACCACTGAAATATTCTCAACTCACAGATGCCTGGTGCCATTAGGCAGATAATTACAGAGATTTGATATCTACATAGGTTTAAGTTTGTTCTAAACAGAGTTCTTACAGAGAGAAAGGAGAACTAGATGACACATTCAAGAGCCATGGGCATGCCACTGAAGGAAACAGGCCACACCTTCATCACAGATTTTAGAGTCTGCCGGACCTACATTGCATCTAGGGTTGGCAGCCTTAGCCAGTAAAAACCCAGATCATCAGCTAAATTTCAATTACTAAAAATTTGCAACATCTGGGATGTATTTATACTAAAAAATACAATGTTTGGACATAAACCGAAAAAACTCAGTTGTTCATTTAAAATTCCAATTTCATTGGGAATCTTGTATTTTATTCCAGTGGCGATATTCTTTGTGTCCTCTCCTTGGTTAGTGCTCAAGTCATCCTTCTTACAGAAAGGCACATGGAAAGCAGCTTAAGCATTAAATGTGGTTTTCTGCACTTACTTTAGAAAAAAATAAGGATAGCCGCGTATTTATATTTCTTTAAAAGCATCACATTTCTCTCATCTTGCATAAAGACATGTATTGATGTGTTGTAACACCAATGAAATCAATGATTAGAAAGTTATTTTAAATATAAGCACTTTAAATATAAACTTTTAAGTATAAAAGTTGTTTTAAATATATATATATGTGAAATACATATATGTGACATGTTAAGTCCAGCCGCAATTTTTGCAATGACCATATATTATCTGTAAACATTTTAGTTAAATAATAAGTAAAGTGGACTATGACCCATCAGAATAGCCTCATGAGTTCCATAGGTCGAGATGGGCCATGACTGGTTTCTAGATGCCAAAATTTCCCCTTGGGTCGCCCGCCTCCTGTGGATTCGGGAGGTGTATTATTCAGACCCCTAAGTAACACCGTATGAACTAGAGGGGCAAGACACTCTAGGTGGACGAATTATCAATACACTTTCCATGAATGAGTGGTAGATGCTGCTTAAAACTAAAACTGACCCATTATTTCATTGATTAAAGCAACACTTCTTTAAGCTAGATAAGCGTCTTATGTGGAAGAGCGTTTTACTAGAAAATGAAATGTCAAGTTACGTTCAATTTCATCTCCCCACTAGGGTGAGTGAACGTTGCACAGATGGCACAATTGATTCTAGATCATTTTATCTGACACTGCAATTTATTAAGAATGAAAAATACAAATGCAAAGTGGCATCATCGTTATTCTACAGAGAAATCTGTCACCTTTCGTGGGGGCTGTGACAATAAGTGGGTTAGATAAAAACCAGGCAGCACGGCAGACATAGTAGTGAGGATGGGACTGTCGTATTCCTGAATCCTGACGAGGTTTGAGTGGACAAACACATATTTGACCTTTGGCCTATTCAAGTCAAAGTCAAGTAGAGCAAGAACTTTTACCACCCTCGGTGAAAAAAAGTCTGTAGTGATAACAGTGGTGCCAGGCTGTCTTTTCCAGCGGGTCCAGTTTGAGAAAAGTACAAGTGATCTCAAAACACTAGTGGTGGCCTGCTCTCCCCCTGCCCCACCCATGTCAATTACATTAACATTTAAATCCTTCTGATCTTTGCTCCTATTTCATGGCAACCCTTATCTAGCACATTCACTCTCTTCATCCCCAAGCAATGCCATTCTTTATCGTAGAGATCAGGTTCTACCTATTGCGTGAAACCTTCTCTTACCAAGCCAGCCAACACAGATGGCCTGACACCAAATTCTAAAAGCACTATTGCTCCCTGGTCATATTTTCATTTATTCAACAAATATGTATTGGCCACTTACTATGTGCCAGGCACTGTTGCAGGTGTTGGGGACATAGCAGTGAACAGAACACACTAAAAAAAATCCCTGGCCTCATGGAGCTTCCATTCTACTAAGGGAGACAACTGGCATGTAAGTAAATAAGAAGTTAATAAGTGCTATGAAGAAAATCATTATTTAAAAGAAAAAGTGTATCTCGCGAGTTACATTTAACTGTTCTGTGGCATCAAGCAGCTATTTCCCCTTTGGAGGTCTTGTTCTCACCTCCATAAGAAAAAGATTTGTAAGACATATTCTTGTTCTGGAATGCTGTGCCCATCAATTAGGTTTAAAACATCTTAATGACAGATACATACACCGTTTTAAAACAAAGATTAAATTCACTTTTCTGTATTTCTAAGCATATGGAAATATAACATTGATGCCTACCTTATATTCAACATTATATTTAAAATTAGATAGCATTCTACTCAAAAACAAATTGGTGAGCATATCAACAATTTCTGATGAGGTACTACTTTGATAGACTATTAGAACCTATTTTCTGTTTAAGACTTTTAGACAAAATAAAGGGTTTTTATTCTAAAAGAGAGCTAGCACATTTTTCAAAGTCACTCTTTAGAATTCATTCTTTTTAGTTATAGATTTCTTAGACTGAATCCCCACTGTATTTCCTCATAAAGTGCTGGGCAAATACATCCTAAATCTGCACACTTCCGTGGCTGAAAAAGAAAAAAAAATGCATTTCTCTTTCATCTTTTAAATAGACGTTCCATAGTTCCATAACTCTGAATATATGAAAAACCTCTGGCCGTGACCTCTGACGGCTTTCTCAGGAATGATTTCAGTCTGTCTCACTATCCCCGATAAGTAAACCATTTGCTAAACCCCAACAAAGCAAGCTGTCAATAAGAAGCACAGATCCGGTGTGCTATCAGGAGTACAGAGAAGTTTCTTTCACCCAACGAGTCTTCCCTGAGGCCAATATCTGCCATTACTGAAACCCTGCAGAGATGCCTGGGAAGTTGATATGGGGGAATGGGAAGGAGGGATTAAAACGTGGAAAATCCATGGCTGGAGCATGTTTGATAATGGCTGTCTGGTTGACAACGAGCTAAAAAAACAATAGTATGATAGAGCATCGAGTCCAAGGCTACACATGAAGCATCTTTACAGTAATTTCCCTAAAATCAGAGTGTGGCTTTAAAAAATTATAGATGGAATAAGAAGAAAAAGATTTTCAAGAGCAAAAGAGGAGGAGTTTTAAGCCATATTTTATTACAACTGTTCTCTACTATCTGTAACGAACATGACAAGAAACATGTTTTCCTTGCCACTTTGTTTGGCTGACATTCTGGTTTGACATAATTGGCTGTTATCTTTACTACCCTGACTAAAAATTAAGGGTTTTTTTTCTAACAAAGCAACTGTCCAGTGCGTGACTCTTAGATTTCTGGGCAAAAGTTAAAGAATGAGGGTCCGTTTTTGCTACCATTGTACCTGTACTAAATTGCTAATTTCCCTCCTCCTGTTGGCAAGGAGCTAAATGATCTACCTCTACTTCTCTTCTCTTATTCAAAGTCACTGAAATGGAGGGCTGGCAGCTTTTACTTCCTACTGAAGCTTCGTCCTTGAAAATGTCCATATTCCCAACACTGCTAAAATTCATCTTCATAATCTGATCATTTATGAAAAGAGTCCCTTCTTCTCTCTTTCAGTACAATAACAGATCTTCAAAACAAAGAAATAAAGCACCTTACGCAGATCCCAATTTATTGTGTTCCACTCAGGGATTAACTGCTCTCAGTGTAGCCCATGGATGCCAGCTCCATAGAGAGAATAAATCAACTTAGCAAAGAACCTGGTGGCTGAACGGAATGACCCTGTGAGATATGCTCTTTGTACTTTGTTTCCTTTCCCGTGAAACAGGAAATGCAACATATTTTCAAAATATAAGGCCCAGGATGCCGTATTTACTCAAATAATTTATACTCGGCCCTTTCCTCGGATGTCCGCAGTTTAAATGGGAGAAAACAGAGAAAGTGAAATAAGGATTGTACTTTGCTTTAAGAAAAGGGGAACAGAGAAAGTGAAATAAGGATTGTACGTTGTTTTGTTTGCCACATTTAGAAATTGTCGCCTTAATTTATTGTACCAACACTGAACAGTTTGGTGCTTTTAAATGGATAACTAGATCTCTTTAAAAGTTTCCTCTCCTTTCTCAAATGCATAAAAAGTATAAGCTAACAAGCTTTGTGAATGGATTCATTGTCTGGGAAAGAAAAACAGGTCATTCCCAAGAAAGGTCCAAGAATTCCAGAAAGTCATTACAGATTCAGTACCACAATAAGAAATAACAGAAGTGACTGAGGGCAGAAACAAAACCGAGAATTCACAATACTAAATTAAAACAAAGAAAATATTTGAGACAAGCAAACAAAGAAGTATTTAGTACACTAGCCACTTCTCACTGACAAAAGGTACAACTGAAAATAAAGATTCATGACCTATACATATCTGCATTAAATTATATAAAAATAAAGCAGAAGAAATTTTAAAAAGAATTTAAAAATAAAGCAGAAACTATCCTATATAATAAAAGCCTAATATGCAAATCAACTGAACGGCAGAATGACCAGTTGCTATGATGCGCACTGACCTCTAGGGGGCAGACGCTCAATGCAGGAGCTGCTCCC